TGGTCAAAGAGATTGAGTCTGTCGCATAGATATAAAAAAAATAAGCAAGTTTAACAAAAGAATCGCCCCCAAAAGATGCTGGAGGAAAAATCTACGGCCATTTGAAGTTTCATAAAATCTGACTTTAAAGGAGTATTTGTGAAAATTTGAACTTCAAATGGAAATAAAACTCGCATCTGATGTCTGATCGAGCCAAATTTTTTCGCAACATGATTATTCTTTCAATAGGTACGCGAAAAAATATCACGCTCTGCCGTAAGACTTATAAATTTTACGTTTATCGGTTTTTGATCATATAAGTCAAATTATATGGGAAAAATTAAAGTCAAATTGATCAAACAAATTAGATGTACCGCGTAGATCTCAAAAAAATAAGCAAGTTTAAAAAAAGAATTGCCCCAAAAAGATGCTAGATGAAAAATCTACAGCCAATTGAAGTTTCAATGAAATTTTACTTAAAAGAGGTACTTGTGAAAATTTAAACTTCAAACGAACATAAAACGCGCATCCGATGTTCGATCGAGTCGGTTTTTTCAAACCTGATTATTTTTTCGATATATACGCGAAAAAACACTACGCGCTGCCATAGGATTTATAGTTTTATGTTTATCGATTTTTTACCATATATAGGGCAAAATTATAAGGAAAAAACGAAAGTCAAATCGGTCAAAGGGATTGGATGTGCCGAGTAGATCTCAAAAAAATAAGCAAGTTTAACAAAAGAATCACCCCAAAAGATGCTCGACGAAAAATATACGGTCATTTGAAGTTTTACAAAATGTGACTTTAAAGGGGTACTTGTGAAAATTTAAACTTCAAACGGACATAAAACGTGCATTCGATGTCCGATGCAGTTGATATTTTTTCCAACCTGATTATTTATTTGATATCTACGCAAAAAAATACCACGCCCTACCATAGGACTTATAGTTTTACGTTTATCATTTTTTGACCATTAATAGGGTAAAATTATAAGAAAAAATGAAAGTCAAATCGGTCAAAGTTATTGGGTCTACCGCGTAGATCTCAAAAAAATAAGTAAGTTTAAAAATAGAATTTCTCCCAAAAGATGCTCGAGAAAAAATCTACGGTTATTTGAAGATTCATTAAATTTGACTTTAAAGGGGTACTTGTGAAAATTTGAACTTCAAACGGACATAAAACGTGAATCCGATGTCCGATCGAGTCGATTTTTTTAACCTCATATTTTTTCGATATCTATGCAAAAAAACACCATGCACATAGGACTTATAGTTTTATGTTTATCGATTTTTTACCATATATAAGGCAAAATTATAAGGAAAAAACGAAAGTCAAATCGGTCAAAGAAATTGGGTCTCACGTGTAGATCTAAAAAAATAAGCAAGTTTAAAAAATGAATCTCCCCCAAAAGATGCCCAAGGAAAAATCTACGACTATTTGAAGTTTTACGAAATGTGACTTTAAAGGGATACTTGTAAAAAATTTTAACTTCAAATGGACCTAAAACGCGCACCCGATGTTCGATTGAGCCGATTTTTTTCAACCTGATTATTTTTCCAATATTTACGCGATAAAACTCCACACACTGCCATAGGACTTATACTTTTACTTTTATCGATTTCTGAGCATACTTAGGCAAAATTATAAGAAATAAATTAAAGTCAAATTGGCCAAAGGGATTGAGTCTACCGCGTAGATCTTAAAAAAGAATCAAGTTTAAAAAAAGAATCGCCCCCAAAAGATGCTCGAGGAAAAATCTACGATCATTTGAAGTTTAACGAAATGTGACTTTAAAGGGGTATTTGTGAAAATTAGAACTTTAAACGGACATAAAATGCAAATCCGATGTCCGATCCAGATAGTTTTTTATTCCAACCTTATTATTTTTTAGATATCTACGCGAAAAAAGACCCCGCTATACCATATGACTTATAGTTTTATATTTATCGATTTTTGACCATACATATGGTAAATTTATAAGGAAAAAAAATAAATCGATAAAAGAAATTGGGTGTACCGCGTAGATATAAAAAAAATAAGCAAGTTTCAAAAAAGAATCACCCCAAAAGATGCTCGGGAAAAAATCTACGGCCATTTGAAGTTTCACGAAATGTGACTTTAAAGGGGTACTTGTGAAAATCTGAACTTCAAACGAACATAAAACGCGCATCCGATGTCTGATCGAGCAGATTTTTTTGCCAACGTGATTATTTTTTGATATGTACAAGAAAAATACCATGCACTGCCGACTTATAGTTTTACGTTTATCAAATTTTTACCATATATAGGACAAACTTATAAAGAAAAAATGAAAGTCAAATCAGTCAAAGGGATTAGGTCTACTGCGTAGATCTCAACAAAAAAAGCAAGTTTGAAAAAAAAAATTCCCTCAAAAGATGCTCGAATAAAAATCTACGGCCATTTGAAGTTTTATGAAATGTGACTTTAAAGGGGTACTTGTGAAAATTTGAACTTCAACGCCCATTCGATGTCCGATCGAGCTGAGTTTTTTCTCAACGTGATTATTTTTTGATATATAAGTGAAAAACACCACTTACTGCCTTGGGTCTTATAGTTTTAAGTTTTTAGATTTTTGAAAAATTATAAGAAAAAAATGAAATTCAAAATTGGTCAAAGGGATAAGTAAGTTTAAAAAAAGTATCGCCTCCAAAAGATGCTCGAGGAAAAATCTACGACCATTTGATTTTTCAAACCTGATTATTTTTTCAATATCTACACGAAAAAACACCACTCACTGCCATAGGACTTATAATTTTACGTTTATTGTTTTTTGACCATATATAGGGCAAAATTACAAGGAAAAAAGAAAAGTAAAAATCGATCAAAGGGATAAGCTTTATAGCGTTGATCTCAAAAAAAAAGTCTAAAAAAAGAATCGTCCCCAAAAGATGCTCAAAGAAAAATCTACGGCCATTTGAAGTTTCATGAAATGTGACTTTAAAGGGGTACTTGTGAAAATTTGAACTTCAAACGACATAAAACGCGCATCTGATGTCCGATCAAGTTGATTTTTTCTTCAACCTCATTATTTTTTCAATAACAGAAGAATTCTTTGTTGGAAAAAAACTTGAGATTACAACCAAATTTGTGTTATGAAATATTTATCATTTGAAATTATAAATTAGACTAGTCATAAAATAAAAAAGACGAATAATGACTTAAATTCTACCATTGTTGACTTTTCTTAGGTTATTTTTTGAAGAGAATGAACGGATAATGAGTCAACATTGAGAATCATTTTTTTCTTTTATGAAAGAGATAAGGTGGGTATTTTGAGGACTATATTTGAAATAATTTCGAAAACATACATACGAAAATAGTGCTGATTTTTTTATAATGAAAGCAACAACTTGAGGAAAAATTACTCAAAATTAGTCTAAACAAATTAGAAGGACAATAAATCTAAATAATAATAAGTGTAATTTACTTGTCTTTAATTTTTAACCTAATAGGGCACGAAGCACATAAGATTGGTAGTTTTGAATTTATATTATTTTATCTAAATAAAATTATAGTAGTATTTAAAAAAAAGAGTAAGGACTTGACTACGTAGATCTCAAAAAAATTTACAAAATCAAAAAAAAATCGTGTCAAATACTCAAGGCCAAATTTATTTAAGTTTGTGAAAGTTCAAATGGCCATAACTTTTGACTCGAATGTTTGATTGAGGTATTTTTTTTTAATTTTGATATTTTTTCGATCTACGCGTACAGCAGCCTAAAGGTGGTTTGGATGAAGCCTTTTTTTGAAAAACGAGTTTTTTAATTTAGGATTTTAGCGAATATTTTAAATAAAATTGAAACAAATCTGATAAAATAAGATGGATTTTTAAA